CGCCCGTTATGTTTGGCGTGGTGGGCGGGTGGCGGGAGTCCGCATTCCTGGTCTTTTTCTGTTGGGAGGTGTAAAAATTATAATTAATATACCTGGATACCTGGACGTGTCATCTCTGACTCAGAGGTTGACGTGTAATGCCCCTCCATCCTTCATGGTCGCCCTTTTCTACCACACTCCTTTTCCCCACCTCCTCCCCAACTCGTCTCACAAACCCCCATTTTACTACCACCCCATCCATCCCTTTCTACGCCCCCCCTCCCCCCCCCAAAACAGCTCGCGACTGTGGCGCCCCCGGAGAGATCAACAACGGCTGGCGTGACCCCGGCTACAGGTTCACCTACCCCACCCGGGTCACCTACCACTGCCACGAGGGCTACGAGCTGAGGGGCCGGCCGTACAGGGAGTGTCAGGCCAACGGGGAGTGGTCCGGGATACTGCCCGAATGTGAACGTAAGTGGCTTAGAAACATTGCTTTACAATGCTGCTTAACAATATTTCTTAACAATACTGAAAATGGTGTAGGTTCAACGCCCCTATCAAGGCAATTATTCCCTTATTTTATTTATGAGGCAGGGCTTCGGAGTTTAACGTCCATCTCGGAAAGGACTGAGTCTAATAAAACATTCGTGTAAAGTGATTTTCCCAAGAACACAATGTTGGACCGGGCTGAGGCTCAAACCCCCGAACGTCAATCTCACGATTACGGGTCCGGTAGCCTAACCGCTAGGGTACCGATGCCACCCTTAACGATACGGCTGAACAATACTGCTTGACAACACTGCTTAAAAATATTGCTCCACTCTTTCTCCGTCAGTACTGCTATTTTAAATCTTCCCATCGACCCCCACCCCCCAAAAAAGCCAAACACACAATCTCAAACAGAGATTGAGAGAGAGGGGGGTATAGAGAGAAGGGGGGGAGATATATACAGAGGCTGAGAGAAGCTCTCAACGTCTGTACCTTTTTATAGTTAGAGAAACGTAAAATAACAGTCTTTGCTTTCCATTCCCCAGCTATTCACTGCAATGAGTTGGGTCCCCCTCTGCACGGTACAATGATCGGATCCGGTACCACCTACGGATCGGTTATCCGGTTTGTGTGTAATGACGGGTTCAAGGTAGTGGGGTCGGCCGAGAGATCGTGTCAGCCTGACAGGACTTGGAGTGGACAGGACGCGTTTTGTGAGGGTGAGTAGAAGGCAGAGAGAGAGAGAGAGAGAGAGAGAGAGAGAGAGAGAGAGAGAGAGAGAGACAGACAGACAGACAGACAGACAGACAGACAGACAGACAGACAGACAGAAAAAAAGACAGAGAGACAGACGGAAAGAGAGATAGAGAAACAGAGAGACAGACAGACAGACAGACGGCAGACAGAGGGAGAGATACAGAGAGAGAGAAAAAATGAAGGCGAGAAAGAGAGGGGGATAGAGTGAGAGAGAGAGAGAGAGAGAGAGAGAGAGAGAGAGAGAGAGAGAGAGAGAGAGAGAGAGAGAGAGAAAGGGGGGAGCGAGTCAAGGTAATGGAGAGCCCTGAAAACTTCCCAAACAACCCACAGCCAAATTTCTAGAAGGGGATTCGAACCAGGGCCATGGACACCATAGCTGACGATGATACCAACTTAACTAACCGTTTGCTCACTCATGTCATGTGCTATATCTACCAGTGCGTGGGTGAGGTTGTTTTTGTTTCGACTCCTATCAGTTCCGTTTTTCTGATCTATGTATATTTTTTCTCTGCCTTCCTCCGTCCTTCTTTTCCTCTATATATCTCCACACAGCAGCAGTTTCTCGGGTCCATTTGCACAATGTATACGGTTAAAGCGAGGTAACGTACCAACAAAATTTGTGTTACAACGAAATGGATTCAGGCACTCGCAATGTTCGGGCATATTATGAAATTATTGGTATTTTATAATCTTACTCCCAGTTCATTTACTGGGGGTTTTTATGGAACAAAATACCCATCTGTCTTTAATAGAAGTTGTGATATTTGCGTATGAAGGAGGTGGGGGTGGCCTGGTGAAAGAGGTAAGAAATGTCGAGAAAATGGCGGTCAAAGTTTGGTGATTTCCAAGGCTCTGGTGTCCTTTGAAACTGCAAATTTACAGTTTTTGTGGCTTTGATTATTGTTTTTCAGAACAATCCACACAAATATACGTATTTCTAAATGGACGAAAAAGGGTGTGGAGCCCCAAACCAAAGACTCAATAAAGATTGCCGAACGAGCAGAAAAAGTCGGGTTCTTCGATTTCATTATTTTGACGAGCGTCTGATTTCACGACGATGCCCCTCACATATCGTCATGCTCAAAAGCAAATGGTCTAACGCATTTTGGGTGGTTTTAAAAAAGAAAAAAGAAAAAAATCCCTCCTAGTCACAATTATACTACAATATGTTCACATGCAGCATCAAAAAGCATCATTTCATTGTATACCAATTCACTTCTTGATTATTGTCCTTAGATATTTATTAAAATGAGTTAAGCATTTTGCAGCCAAGCGAATGTATGTTTCTCCCCAGAGATTAACTGTGGACTGCCTGGCCCCCTCTACAACGGCTACCTGGACGGACACAGGACAACTGTGGGAGCTGTGTACTTCTACAGGTAAGAACCCTGTAACACAGAAGGCCAAAGTCATCACCCAGAGCAAGATCCAAATCAGGCAATGGCGGTCATGGTTCATGGATCACTAATTATTTTCTGCTGATGCTCTTTTAAAAGAACTGTATTCTCCTGATCTGACCCCGCCGCCCATCTGTTCAAGTTTCTTTACATGTAATAAGTTGGTTTTTAGCCCAACACTGCCTTTTTTTGCCTTCTCTTATTCCCTATGAGAACCAGAACAGAACATGTAATAATAATAATAATAATTGCATTTATATAGCCCATATCCATGCTCAAGAGCTTGCTCTATGCGCTTTACAACTATTATTACCCCAGCAGACCCTCTGAGAACACTCAGAAACATTCTCAGCTTCCGCGGAAGCATACAGTGCAAGCTGCAGATTTCACGCGCTCAAACACTATCAAACTGACAAGATCTTTCACTGTCTATAGCTGGGTACCCATTTCCACCTGGGTGAAGTGAGGAAAATTTGTGCAAAGTGCCTTTCCCAAGGACACAACGTCGGGTCCCTGACGGGATTCGAACCCACGACCTTACGGTTGCGAGACCGAGAGCCTAACCACTAGGCCACCGACGCCATGTATGTCCCTTGCCTTTACGTCGACCAAGAGACAGCCAAATGTATCAATTATCATTCCTACTTGTGTACTTGGTACCTTACCTAATGCTGTCAAGATTTACGAACCAGACACACGGGTATAACGTGTAACTTATGTCTCCATCCTTTTCTGTCTCTTTGTCTCTCTGTTTGTCTGGCTGGCTGGCTCTCTCTCTCTCTCTCTGTCTCTCTCCCTCTCTCCCTCTCCCCCTCTCCCCTCCCTCCCTCCCTCTCTCTGTACGTACGAGGTCTGTCTCAGAATAAAGTTTTTGTGACGTAATGACATCATGTTTAAGAAATCCCAACGCCAAATTGCAAGTGCATTGGTGAACGGGTCATAGAGCTGTGACGTCTCAAATGCGGTGTTTTTGTGCGCTGTGTCCAAGGCAAATTCCAGGAAAATGGCTATGCAAAACATTGGTGCAACCTTCTCCTGCTACGATGTCCAAGTTGTGATCAAATTTTCAACGCTTCTTGGCAAGTCTGCAGTTGAAACCCATGGTGATTTATACAATGTAACAGGGAATAATGCCCCATCAATTCAAACAGTAAGGAAATGGATCAGGGAGGCTGAAGGTGGGAGGTCTGACATGAAAGATGAAGCGCACACAGAAAGCACGGGTAGAGAAAGGTGATGCACATTGGGTTTTTTCGACATGAGTGGCATCATGCTGAGCTGGCTAGTCCCACCTGGCGTAACTTTCAATGGTGACTACTACAGATTCGTCGTCAAAGACAAGCTGAGACTCGCGATCCGGATAAAAGACCCGCTTTGCTTGAAGAAGTCGTCATCCGGCATCATGACAACGCGCTTGTTTACAAGTCCAGAGTTGTGAACGAGATTTTTTAGGGCTACTCGTGAGAATTATTGGAACACCTGCCCTATTTCCCCGATTTCGCCCCATGCAACTTCCACCTCTTCTCCAAGGTGAAAGAAATGAATGCTGCGAGGTCGGCGATTTGAGGACGAGGACCAGATTCAAGAGGTTATGAGAAAAGCACTCGGGAGTACTCGGGACCTTTGACAAACGATCACTGACCGCTGTCTTTGACTGCTGCGTACATCACATGGAGAAATATCTTGAACTTGATGGTTCCTACATTGAATATGTATTTGAATAAGCTTTCTGTTGATACCAAATACAAAGTGAGTTATTAATTATATGTGGGGACAGCATGACAGGGAAACTTTATTCTGAGACAGACCTCGTATGTTAACAACAAACAATTTACCCCCAGATGCAACATCCGGACCAAATTCAACGGGACGTCTTTCTCGACCCAGTGTCTGGAGAACGGGCAATGGTCTCACGCCGTGCCCAAGTGTCTCGGTGAGTCTTTATACCCAGTGCCCACAGCAGAAATACTCATAAAAGCCCTATTTAATAAGGTTACATAATAATAATAATAATAATAATAATAATAATAATAATAATAATAATAATAATAATAATAATAATAATAATAATAAT